GACCACGGGTCTTATGATCATTGTAAATAGCTAGTAGATCATTTTTGGCTTTAGACCCTAAGTTTTGCTGGATAATATTCGGTATGTCCAGTATGTGGTTATTGCTCGATCGCGTTTTTAGATAAAGTCAATTTTTTCCCAAGATGGATTTTGACATTGAAAACTTTGGAACATAAGCAATAACGCTTGGCCCTTATTGGTTGTATGCATCGAGGCATAGGACGTCGACCGACAGTCTACTACACGTTCAGTCATTGAACGTGAGTAGGTAAACCTTCTGTTATTTTTCACCTGTTATTTTTGAACTATAACAACAGTTGCATCCGTTATTTCCAAATAACGGCTTAAAAATAATCGATAGTTAAGTAACAAGACATCTCAACTTTTAAGACGTTGGTTCCAAGTAAGTTTCTGATCCAGGATGACTCCCAGATATTTGACCTCACGGTTGGGGTTGTTAGATTCAGCGTCCTTTTCCTTGTAAAAGGTACAAATATGGTTTCGTTGGGGATGACGCTTGAACCTTCCTGTAGACACCATCTAATAATGTCATTTAGGGCATTTTGCATGAGGTCAGTCACTAATGATCCTGTCATGCTTACCCGGCCCTAATGATATCCTAGGAGCGTAATCCCTTGGGCGCTTAGCGCGTCTCTCTATCCTAATCTTCGAAAGAAAAGCTACATGCTGCATGCTGCTACCTGACATCACACTTTTTTAAATGGGGGTTTCTCCCAAGTTTCTCACGAAAAGGGCTAGTATACCGCTGCCAAACTAAATTGATACGTGGGATGTCCAAGAAATTCTCAGGTAGGCTTATTATTTTGGTTCTCTCTTTTTATAGGGATTTTTGTTGTTTCTATATCTTCGACTATCGTGACTCCCATAAAAGCATTATGGTTATACATTCTCATTCACATAGCCTGGGCATCAACCATTTTCCTGCTTGCAGGCGGATAAATCACCCTGTATATTATGTTTGATTAGATCTGAGTACCTTCAGCCAATCCTGACGTTGTTCAGTGCCTCGAGAACGGTATATGATTCATTCAATAAAATCGAACGCTTTCTGGGTAATCAGTGAAAACCAAATAAAGGAACATGCTTTGTTCTCTATAAAATCAAAAGCATCAGGATAAGAAGAAGACACTGGACACTAGGCCTTTTCGGAAAAGCTGATCCGATTAACCGGATCACCAGTTGATGTACTTTGTCTTTTTTCAGTCGTGTCCATCGTTAAGCTCTGAGCGAATATAAAAAATGTCTGAGAGCATCCAAGAAGGAATTATGGAGAAGACAGTGTGAGGAGATCGAACAGACTCCTCAATGTGCCAGGCTCTATAAAATCTTTTCGAAGGACACTCCAGGAACGATTGGCTCTCTCAGAACATTAAATGGAAACAACACTCAGACCGGACAGGGAACTCTAGAGTACACTTTCCAGGCAGTGTGATCCTTGAAGAAAACCCCGAAAACTGTTACTATGTAGACCTAGCCACAACCAAATATGGCACTAGGGAAGACTGGCAGATGGCAAAAAAAGTAGTAACATGGCGTAGGCTGAAATGAGTCGATGACTCATTCGAGCCATATAAATCGCCACGACCAGATGGGATTTATCCAGTGTTATTACAAAAAGACTCCGGATTATATTTAGTGCAAGCTTGGGACTAAATCATCAATCAACCAAACCAAAGCCTGGAAAGAAATCAGAGTTGTCTTCATCCTCAAACCTGGCAAAATAGTTCAGGACAATGCAAAAGAGCTGAGACCCATAAGCCTCATGTCATTTTTGTTGAAAGATCTACTGTGCTTGAGCTCCACATTCGGGGTGGTGCATTGGCTACCAGACCAATACATCCGGACCAATATGCATACAAAGCAGGAACCTCAACTGAAACAGCACTACATCACCTCATCCAGCGGGTAGAAAGTACGTTGAAACATCAAAAAGTTATGTTGGGAGTCTCCTTTGATATAGAGGAAGCGTTTGACATCCTTCCTTCGAGGCAATCATGAGAGATCTACGCCGATGAGGTATTGATGATACATGCTGGTAGAGTTATTCACTCTACGCTCCTAGGTATAACAGTAACGACTCGGGTTATAAAGGGATGTCTGCAAGGCAGAGTTTTATCACCCCTGCTGTGGAATCTGGTGATAAACGAGCTGATAGAGCTACTGAAGAGCAACAACCATCAAGTAGTGGGATATGCATAATATCCCAGGGAAAATTCAACAATACAGTTAGAGATCGCATGCAGCAGGCTCTAGCAATAGTCTCTAGTGCCACCAAATCGACAATTGTCCCCTTTACCAAGAGAAGGGAATGGAGGGACTTGGACCTCTTTACTTTACTTTCAGGGAAACCCAGTCACGATGTCGGATGAAGTTAAATATCTTGGGGTAATCATAGAATCAAAATTAACTTGGAACAAATATCTGGACACAGTAATTGAAAGGTCAGAATTGGTACTTATACTAGCTAGGAGAACTTTCGGAAAAACCTGGGGACTGCGGCCGGACATGATGTACTGGCTATACACAACGGTTGCAAAGCCAGCAATAATCTATGCGTCTTTGATATGGTGGACAAAGATACAATAAGACAGGAGCCTTGGTAGGGTGCAGAGACTTGCCTGTCTGGGCACACCAACAGCAGTTATGGAAGTCCTACTAGACCTACCTCCGCTACACATTGTGATTTAGACGGAAGCCAGGATGGGCCTCCACAGACAACGAAACGACCTGAGCAAACTAACAGTCAGATCAGGTCATACACAAATAAGGAAAGTCGTAAATCTGACAGTATTCGACATGATAACTGACTATGCACCTCCCAAATACTCAACCGGCATATACCTCCAAGTCCTAATTAGTAAAAAGGGGGGATGGGAAAACCAACATATACTCTCCAATCTCGAAGGCCAGACCTGGTACTCGGACTGGTCAAAGACTGAGAATGGCACAGGCGCAGGAATCTACAGTCAAGAAGGAAGATGCGAGACCTTCTTCTCTCTAGGGTCACATATATCTGTTTTGCACGCAGAAGTATATGCAATACTACAATTCGCAAAAATCAACAATATGGGGGCCTGCAAAAACAGAAGAGTCACTTTACTCACAGACATTCAGGTAGCATTGGGTCATTGAAGAACCCTAAGGCAAACTCTGCACTGGTACTAGAATGCCGAGAAGAACTCAACAACTTGGTGGGCCAAAATAACGTCACATTGATGTGGGTGCTAGGACATAGAGGTATCCCGGGCAACGGAAAGGCTGACGAACTTGCACGCAGGGTGTCATCCACAGAATACCTTGGTCCCGAACCTGCTCTTGGAGTGCCCAAAAGCACAGTAAGAAAGGAGCTAAAGGAATGGATCAAAGCAAAACATGCTCAATATTGGAAGTAAATACCCAAGCATGCACCCATGGGAAAATCTTCATACGTGAGACATGCAGCAAAAGAGCAAAAAGACTACTACAACTAAGCAGGAATCAATTTGGAGTAGCAACCGGCTTTCTTACTGGGCATGCCCCAGTAAATAAGTACCTGCAAATAATAGGCTTGTACAACGAAGACACGAGCTGAAGACTATGCGGAACACAGACTGAAACAGCTCAACATATTACGGCTATGTTGCGATATCAACTGCCAGTACTGGATTTACTGTGCTGATTTTACTGTCATTTGCCATTCCGATTTCAACAGCATACTCTAGAGATCATTCAGTACTGAATCAGTGTACTGAAAATAATATCAGAACGGTGTCCAGTAAATTGAGTACTGACAGTTGATATCGGAACATTGTGTATATCAGAACGCGATGCACTAACTCGCAGAAGACAAAATATATTTGGAGAAGATGAACTAGATCCAGACACATACGGCAAACATCCAACAGACCTACTTCGCTTACTGCAGGGAACCAGGGTTTTGGAATGGGTGTAGTAAACAGGAAGATTCAGCACAATAAGCCTCCGGCTGCAGTGCTACTCGGAGTTTAATCAGACGACTTCCCCACCAAAAAAAATCGTGTTCATTGAAGGAGGATAAAAAAAACAAACAGGTGGTGATTGATTTGATCGAATCGGATCAGCGTTTACGAAATAGGTTACTATTAACACAAAAATATTAAAAATATATGAATAACCTGAATATGGAAGCCAGAAACGTTAATTAACGAAACTATTTCAAACAGAAAAAGATAAACATGAATTGTCGGAAAAGTGAGATTGAAGGTATTCGATAACGATATATTATAGCAAAGGAGATAGAAATAAATGCAAAAGTCACCGAGGCGTTGCAGTAACAAATACATTGAGCAGGGTATATTATATGGAAATCGAACAAGAAATAATTGTATCACTGGCAAGCATACCAAATAAAGTTATCTCTTGGGAAGTTTTTCTTCCAAATTGTGCTCAATGGCATCGTTACGCTTAATATGCATGTCGCGAATAAATGGAGCATGTAAAGACAAACGCCATACATCTATGTCACAAGAGGATTTAAAACGTTACAAGCTTATATTCGACGCTGAATAGATAGATAGCAGTAGTGCATGTACGGTTTCATTTTCTATTATTGTAAAGTTGATGCCAAATAAACACAAAGAGACATTTTTGGAACTGATTTTTACAGTTGCTTCATTAGTATATTTATCAATCAATTAGGTATCCCAAAATTTTTCCTGGAAAGGAATAATGAATTGGATCCAGAATCCATTTTATTCAAAAAATCAAAGCCTAATATCTATGCCAGTGTAATTCTTTTGATGTTGTTATATCGGAATTAACTTTTCCGAATGGCAGAAATCGAAAAATTTCGTATTGCAAACACAAACGACAAATAATTTTATTGCTAGCAATAATGAAAACATGACTTCCAAGGGATACGATCGAACTTCCAATAACTTTTTAATATCTGGAAGTTGGCAGTAGTTGTAATTTTACGACTGGCTTTATTGCGGCACGGTTCAAAAATACTAACGACTTACATTAATGAAGTTTTAAGACGAATTTTAATATACATTTCGATCGTAAAATTCGACACTGCCTGTCCGAACATTAAAGATCATATTGAGAATAAATGAAAAATTTAAATCGGTTGGCATCTTGCATCTTGTACCCAATTTATAGTGATAATTTTAGTAGATATATTTTCGGAAAACTGAAAATAACATCAAAAATTAAATTTGTAGAGAGTTTGTATATGGCTATAATAAAGCCTCAATAACCATGGGAGTAATAAGGACGAAGCGGTTCAATAAAGTGTATTATATAAACTCGAATGAAAAGGAAAACTCAGATGCTTGCGCCTGGCATGCAGCTGCTAGAATAGCTCAGAGTTTGATTTTCTGGAATTTCTTATATTGTCAATTATGAATGAATCGATTTGAAACTTTAGTATGCTGAACTCCTTCCTTTCCTCTTTTCACACCAAAAGTTTCAAATTGTTTCACTCACTAGTTTTCAAAAAAAATATCAAAATATGAGGTGTGTTTTGCTCAATTTCCCTATTGAAAAGTTAATTTTCTGGAATGTAATGTAAGTGTTCTATGCGTCTAAAAAATTGAATCATCAGAGTAAGAGTTTTGTCTATTTTTGACGATATATAGATACCTAATGTTATGACAAGTTTAATCCCTACATTTTTTTATCTCTTTCGAGATTTTTAAAAGCTTTTGAAAAATTAAGTCATTAATTGAAAAACGACTGATGCACTTATCCCTAGATTGTTATTATTTTAAGGACACCTCCTAGACAATTTGTTATGTTGTCTTGTTTATAAAACACTGATGTCAATAATAATTATTACATGTCTGTTCTTCCCTAAGTAACACACATGTGATAAGATTTTAAAAGAAGACCATCTGGCTTGAAAGGCAACGTTATAAATAACAGCTTGGGACAGAAAAATTAAAGGGCACAAACGTCTTCAATTTTTTAAGCGTCAGTTGATAAGTATAATACGTTAGTTTAAAACTCAAAAGTTAATCTTGTAAAGCATTTCAAACGTAAAGCTCTTCTTTCACAAGTGATATATGTAATGTGATATATTCCTTTAATGTAATTTTTATTGCGGAACACAAGCAATAAAATACAGATATTTAGCAATATATTTTTCCTATTCGGCTTAAAAATTCCAGCCCACACCAACTAGTAGTAGTTTAATCCATAAATTTTATTGTTTAGGAAAAATCGTCGGAATTACACAAATGGGAATTTTGCATTATACTGAATTTTCGGAATGGGAGTTTTAATGAGTGCCATTGTATCGTAGACTATTTTATGCGCTAAATTATGTACTGAAAAGCAAAAATAGATTTTAGACTTGGGAAGGATTTTGGCTCATGATAAGGTGGAATCACAATAATAATTAAAGTAAATTGTACTTCTTTCCCATTGCTTTAGACAGCCATCCATTAAATTGTCCACTCAGAGACACCTTTTGTAAAATCTTAAATGGGGAGCGACTGGGGCAAGTAACAAACTGGAATCACAAGAGACGAATATTTTTTCTGGATAAATTTTGACATTTTTATTCACCGAGTTATATCCAAACTATAGTCAACGTGAATATCGGTGACACGAATTAAATATTCATTTCTATCCGGAAGTGCATTCAAGTCAATGCATGCACTTCTAATTTATTAAATCAGCATGTATCAAATTTCCACTTCTAGCAGCTCAATAGTAGATGTAATGTATATGAGGTGATCGATTATTAAGCTCACCAGCACTAATTCAATATTTCACGAGAGCCTGATATTACTCTCTCGACTCATGCAAGTTCGAATGATTCAAGGAATTAGATATTATTGGTATTTTGAAATGCCGAGAACAATATGATGCGCCAGCTAATAAATCACTAGAGCATATATTTTTAGGTATTTTGTGTTTTGCAGTTAATAGTAATTTATTGTTCATGGAATAATAATATTTCATGCGGAGAAAATAATTGTTTTCGTTCAGAATAAGAAAATGGTTTGCCGACACAACAAAATGTTTTATAGCTTTCGCCACGATATAAATGAGAAAAAGAGGACATTTAAGGATGTCATAAAGCTTAAGGCAAAGTCAACTTACCGGAAGTGCGTCACACGTCTCGACGGTCAGGGGATCATCGGTGCAGAACATAGGATCTGCCGGTTGCAAGGAAGGGGGCCGTGGGGGTGGTGGCAGTAGGAATTCCGGGGGTGGACCGGGACATTCGCAGTCGGCGGCGGCGTCGATAACATCCCACATCGTGGCGTCCTCTGGACTTGGGGGATCGTCGCCGTAAACCGCCGCTGCGAGTCTTTCCATAGACTTAACTAAACCTGAAAACAATAAAAAATATTCAAAACCAGAATAGGTATGGAAAGATCTTCAGGAAATTTGAAAAAGTCGGAATTAAACGGATCACAGAGGTTTTTGATCAAATATAGTTAGGGTTAAATAACAAAATCAATGACTTGTATAAGCAGTTATTGCATTGCCTTAAAAAAGAAATGCCAAGGATTCTATTATTTCTGCACTAATAGTCTGATGAGCCACTGTTTAAAGCTACTCTTAAAATTTATTTGCCAAATAATAATTTGTACAAACACACTGTCAGGAAGTCCCAACACTGTCAGGAATTGAACCAATTGACTAATCACTTGCCGCGTTTACCCAACCGTATGCAACGATTCTCTAATATAAACTAAACTGTAATTCCCTGGTTCGCAGTGGCGTCGGAGTTTCCACACCAATGTAATTCCGTAACATTGGCTTCCAAATCAGATCGCACCGATATGACCATACTATACCTTTCAGAGTCCTCAATGAGGACTCCTCAGAATCATATTTTTGGAAATAATGTCCTCTAGGTTAGTTTTTTTATCGTACTCGTAATAATCTTCATCATCCCAACTATCCACACGCTTAACATATCTATGCCTCTAAAATAAATGCTCGCTATGATGTCTTTCTGTTCTGTCCCGCCTGCGTGATTTTTCTTTCCCTGGACTCTGAACTGAAATCACCGGAACAAGAAGAAGGGCTGTCCCTTGCTGACTACAATGCCGCCTGTTGTCGTATCCCCCATCACGACGTTTTTCTTTCTTCGTTCATTCAAATTTTCTTTTTTCGAGTTTGGTGGCTATCTATTGCCAGTTTTCTCCAAGTTTGATGTCAGTATCTTCTGTTATTCGGGACTCTATTATTAAGCCGGGGGTTTCTAACACAAGCTCTTTCACACTAATCAATAATGAGGTAGTCCTGGCATTGAACTGGGCCTAGTGGCCTAGATAAAGTATCTGCGTTGTTATGCAGTTTGACAGAACTATGTTTGATTTGAAACTTACTTCCTCCATCCAAGGCTGAGAGTCATCAGGAGTAGATAGCTTTGCCGAACTCGACAGTTACACCTACAATATCCTCTCTTACCGCCGCTATAACATTAGGTACCTCCTCCAAGTTCCTCATTGAAGGCTGAGAGTCACCAGGGTATCTGTTCTCGAAACCAGGAAACAGCGTTCTCGGAAAACGATTGCTCTGTTTGTCTTTTTTTTTCACCCTCTCGAGCCCATGCTTTGCACTGAAGCTAATTGTGGCTTATTGTAAATAATTTGCATGCAAACAAACAACCATGACGTAGCCGGGATCGAACCTGGGACCCGCATCATGCGAAACAGATACACTAACCACTACACTGCAATTAACAAAATGAAAGTAACTGTGAAACAATATATACAATCCATCTCTGCAAGACTAGATATACTAACGAAAAACCTTCAACAGCAAAAGAAGAGGCACGAGCAATACCTAAGGAGCAGAGCGCAACAAAAGCCCTCAATGAGAATTTTGCCGAAGAAAGACAGAACCGCATTCCTAGAAACTCAACAAGTCGAAGAACTTTACTAAGCCTCTACAAGAAAGAGGAAGATAACAAACCCACTCCAATTTGGAATGCATACCTCTCAAAATTGAAAAAATATTCAAACACACATACAGAAAAACAGCACCAAATCGGAAACGAAGACATCAGGAAAAAATTGGCCCGAGTTCTAGCAAGAACTGCCCCTTGGAAAGCTACTGGAGAAGACAAAATTCCAAGCAACTTGTACCAGATCTTTCCTGCTGCTCAAGTATACCTGACATCTTTTCTGGTTGACTCGTTGAAGGGCAAAACAATGCTAACACAGCAGCCCTGCTAAATACAGACTATAAAATGCTTGCAGCTTCATTGCAGACACTATGAAAGAATGCTTACCAGACTAAGCTGTTCCTCCTGAACAGTTGGCTAGAGAACAGCATTAGTCAGCTGGCCAGAATGCGCAGATGCAGCAGCTACTCGTCATGGTTTGACTTCAAAAAAGCATTTGACTCCATATACCACAAATACCTAAAAAGAATTATTGATTGCCTGGCCTTGCACAAAAAGATCCAGGAAACATTGAAGCATGCAATAAAGTTATGGTCGATGAGAGTAATAGTAGGAAAAGGCGCAACCAAAATAATACCTATCTAAAGGGGCGTTTACCAAGGTGACTCTATATCTTCTTTACTCTTCAAGCTAGTGACTGCTGCCATCATAGAGCACATTAAAACAAACCAAGAAATAACCAAGAAGGCAAGGGGCAAACAAAAAATTATTGCCTTCATGGATCATCAAATGCCATGCACCTTCTCAAAAATGTTTGGAGCTAATTACTACATGCTTAGAAAAGGGAGCGGAAGAAGTTGGACTTGAGCTGAATAGCGCAAAGTGTGGATGCTACAGTAGAGAAGGCATACAGGCTGATGACAATGATGCAGCACCTTTTCTTCCTGAAGTGAGGGATGGTTACAAATATCTGGGACTAGAACAACTTGAGAAGGACACTCTTGAAAATTATGAGGACATTGAAAATAAAATCAACAAAAAACTAGAAACAATATTAACATCGGAGCTGATTATCTTTCGGAAAATAGATTTGTTGAACAACACAATAAATCCAGCAGTCAACTATGTAATGGGTAACATACACCCAAACGAGAAGCGGGCCTCAACACTAAAGAGATGTCGTGATTTGGATACATCCATAAGAAAGAAGCTGTTGGAGTATGGCATCAAAGGGAAATCCTCCTCAAACGCAAGGGTCTACCTCCCAAAGAACAAAGGAGGCCTCGGACTAAGACTTGTTGAGCTTGAGGCCGAAATTCAATACGACAGAAAAGGCATCTACCTCCAAATGCACCCCCAGATGGAGGAGATTAGAGAGGCTTACGAAACGCTGAGGAAAGCTGGCTGGAGAAACCCCCTGAGCGACTCTGAGTATGTCATGGAAAAATATACTCAACTTGAACATCCAAGATTACAACAACTACAAGAAATGCTGCCAAGACGCAATGAAATGAAAAATTCCAGAGAGACACGGAAAAAGAATGGTCAGCAAATCTCTCATATGCAAGAAATGTCCAATGCACAAGTCCTTGAACATGGACTGCTGGAGGCTAAGGCTCCTCAACACAGCTGCAGAAGAGCAGCTGCATGGGATGGGTGCAAACCCAGCACAAAGACACAAGTGCCTCAAGGGCTGCTAATAAGAACTCCTACTATGAAGCTAAATCCTGCCCTACAAGAGCTTTTGTTAGCTGGCATGACTTCGTGGTACACTGGACATTGAAGACCATTTTGAGGAGCTAAGGAGCACCAGAAGAGGCCCAGACGAACCTCCAGTTCGGAAAAGCTAGAGTTTGCAGCCACTTCGAGGTTGGGGGAAGAAGCATCAAGGTGGAAGCGGACAACTAAATTCTTACAGAGAAGAAGCTGTACCACAACAGGCCTGATATTGTAAAAATCCCAACAAAATTTTCATCTATGAAATAGCTGTTTCACATATACAGAACTACAGGGAACAAAAAAAACTGAAAAAAGCAAGATACTCTGTGAGCTCTATTACTAAACTGACAAATACCAACGTTAAAAATATCACAAGAGACCTCAACCTGGTAGCGGAGCTAGAGAACATCTATAGATGCTTTGTTCAACTAGGTGTATTTATAGTCGGCTACTACGGTGAAATCATCGAGACAGAGACACACAGGGAGTTTCAAAGAATGCTATTCAGTTGCTGTTTCTACCAGCAACCTGCTTATGAGACGGATGGACGAAAGGAAAACCAATCTGTAATATATTGACTGCCTGTTTCTGTTTCTTGTAATGTTTACTTGTATATGTCCACACTGTGATACGCTTGTTTTAATTTAATGTCTGTAATATATTTAGATAGAGCCATCAACAAACTATAGTTCGCCTTACGAGTCTAGCACTACGACGTCTGAAGGGCAAGGGGGAATAACGCCATTCATTTCGAGTTTTATGCTGCCTGTCATAGGCGTGTGCGCAGCGTTTTTAAATATTACTTTTTCCTTATAAATGTAGGTGCAATAGGCAATATTGCAATTTTTTTTATCTGCATTCTTTCCATAGTGCTAGACTCGTAAGGCGAACTTCACACTGGTGACCTGAACCTGAGTCCATACTAGATCAGCCATGCCAAGAGGAGACTGTAAGACTGAACCACACCAAAAATTCCCTTTTTTGTAATACCTGTAATATTGGTACCATGTGCAAGACTAAAACTAGTCAATACTGGCCGAAATGGCCAAGGAGAAAATCTGGCTGAAATGGCGAAGGAGAAAAACAAAAGCAAAAACATCTGTACTGTTAACTACTTAAGTAAATACCACTCTGTACATCAATTTTACTAAAGTGTGTCAACGAGTCAGCATTAATTTGGTGTAAATACCGCGCCGAAATCCATTACCGTACCGGCAGACTAAGGCTAGTGCAAAGAACCTCAAATGGGAAAAGCCCTTCTAGCTAAGTCTCCCCCCAGTGCAAACTACCTTTAATGGGAAACGCCCTTCTGGGAGTATTGAACGCAGCAGACTAGGTCCAGTACAAACTACCTTTATTGGGAAACGCCCTTCTAGACCTGTCTCAAACACAGCTTCAGTCTTCAGTCACGCTAAGTGTACAACAGAGGGTACATAATACAGAGTAGCCTATAAGTAGTACGTCGTACGTCCCTCCATACAAGAGACGTTATGATAGTATTTCTAGGGTAATATTATTATTATTCAATACATGTAAAATTGTACCTATACCAAGCGAGTTTTCCTCTACCTAAACCCCACCTACGCCCCCAGGTCACGCTCCTGTTGTGACATCCTAGGACGAAACGTATAGGGGTTGTGACAATACTGCGTTCGTTATTTCTATTTGTCAATCCTGTTATATACTTTATATTCCTAATTATTTTTATTATTGTTAGTATTGTCTGTGATATGTACCATCGTCACCAAAAGA